TATTATTTATGTATCATAAGTTTTTATAATCGTCATCATCAGTTCTACCTCTGCAGGACACAGGCATCTTCAATAGCACTCCGCTGAGATCCATTCTCACATCGCATCTAATCACTATATAATCTCTACCACCTAATTGGAGCGCACTTTAAGCTACGTTTTCCTAAACGTAGTCAACATTGCCTTCTTCAAAACATGTTTTCCTAAAGCCATCGGTTCGCCAACAAATGTAAGCGCCTACTTCCACACACACACAGGCTTAAGTTCCTACGTTAACATATAGGCCAAAGCATTCATCATCGGACGTACAAAATAGCATGATACAGTAGGTAGTTGGGTTAGAAATCGGCACCGTGACTAGAATACTTCCTACAAGGGGTTTCAATTTCGATAACGCCTAGTTCGAAGAATCTCTTATCTCACTCTGTGGAAATGAAAAGATTTGTGTGAAACCATCTTGACTGCATGGTCAGCGCAGTGGCTGCTGTGCTACGTGTTAGGGAACAACACTTTAACACTTTGTGTGGTTAACAAATTGTTGTTCCGGGTCTCCGTGTGATAATATATATGGGACTTTGTAATAATGTGGGTTTGTAAACGGGTAGTATTTAAACGCAAATCAAAAAATATCCTTTTTCTATGCAATAAGATTCCAAATTCCCATCTAAATTACTGATTGCACAGCATAATATTCAACTCAAAATATCACTAAACACACTACAATTTATTTTCGCAGCGAACAGCGATTTTTCCTAAAGCAAAAGCTTTTTCATCAATGCACAGCTAATAATCTTAATGCACATTATACCTGTTAACTCTTTTTCTTTTAAATATAGCTTCTATTTTTATATTATTTACAGCAGTTTTTCTAAATAAAACACCATTTTATTAATCACAGTCGTCTTATTATTTATTAATTACCACATAATGAGATCAGCAAAAAATATATAAAATTAGATACAAAATTGTAATTTATTGAATTATTAAAGCAGGTCTTGCTTTCGCGGGGCGTCCACGCTTCCTTTTTTGGCCAATAGGCACATTTTTAGCTTCTGCAGGTGGCGCCACGTACTTGAGTCGGATCGCAAGTCCGATGACATGCTTGCACATGTAGTTCTTAAAAAAAATGGGGCAGGTGCATTTTCCGTTGACCCAGGCGGTTTGTTGGGTGGGCAAAGCAACTCTCCAATATGCGAAAGCGTTTTTTTTGTAACCATCAAAAAATCTTGAGTAAATGTCATGTCACTTGCTGTTGAGCTTCTAACTATATAAGTATTTAGTCCTGCTTTTAGAAATAATGCAATGCAAAAGGATTTTTTTTGGTATAATAATCATTAAATTTGCCGAGCATGGCTACTTGAAAATTAAGACAAATATGATGAACAGGTTTTGTTGTACTTATTGGTTAATATGCGACTGGGATAGTTATTTTGCTATAAAATATGAAAAATTTGCTGTGCAGTCAGTATTTATGCTATGTATGTAGTATTTTTGTACAAAAATAAATTTAACTGTATTGCATTATGAGGAAAAAAGTAATGTCATATTGATGTAAAATTTCGAATTATCTGCAGTTTGAGTTTTGTTAAACATTTAGTTTATTTGTAGTGAAGTAAGTTATTTGATGTAAAAAAGAATATAAATGATGAGTATGTATTGATAGGCGATTATTTATTTGATATGCAATTTATAATATCCCTTTGTAAACGCACACATGAAAATTTATCACATCAGATGATCTTCGGCCGCCGTACGCGCGGGTCTGCGGACAGTCTGACACTCCGTCGTCACTTTGATGATTTTCCCCTAAGAAAAAAAACCCCACGACACAGCCAACAGACACAGCAAAACCCTAGTTTAGGCTAATGTTTCAAAAAACGAGCTTCAAGTTAAGTTACACTGCGATCGTTTATCGATAATAACAATGTTACAATCCAAATCCAATCTAACCTCATCAGTAGAGGACTTTTTTTCCGTTCAGCGACCTCCTAAATAAGTGACTGATGCAGGGAACACTTCCTACAAACACTAACTTGCTAATATAATATTAAATATCACCAGTTACTAGTAAGCCGTTTCTAAATAAGTGTCTATACATTACTATAGTAAGTTGTAATAAAAAAAATATAAAAAAAACCTATTTCTTGAATTATGAATTGCGGTTTTGTTAGTAAATGCAAATGGATTATACCTGTTCATTAAGTTAATGATCTGTTTAATTATGCATAAAATTAACACAGGGCGTTCACCTTTTAGCACGTTTCCCTTTTTTTGTTTTAATCGAATGTCATGCTATTTTCTTTTTTTAATTTTGTGAAATAATGCGTATTGCTTAATATCATAAATCTTGTTATATATTTGTTATGTTGTTATTTGTGTACCTTTTTTAAGGAGGCAAAAAATCATTGAATGCATTTTCCCTTTACTTTGTGGGAAAGGAAAATCATAAAATGATTTCTCTCGCCTAAATTTGGCGAGAGGTAGTGACAGACTCTAACTGGCTCAAACACGCCCCCGTTCCTTTTCCTGCTACTAGCCGAGGCCACGATACATTATTGCGCCTAAACTGCAACCCCGGCAAACGATGGTCATATTGTTCCCGAGTGGTGGTAGTCTATTGGCCCTTTAAGGCGCGCGCGGAATGTTACACGCTGCACTCTCGGTTATGGTTCTGGTCGGGCGGCGAGCTACTTTTACTATATCCCATCCCTTCGGTTGGTAGTGTGTTGGCTCCTGCAAAGGAATTTTGATACCTAATATAGATTTTTTAAGTTTGTTGAAAAAATACACAAAGTACCAAGTAAATAAATATCTAAAAATCTAAGCAAATATTTAATTTTAAATAAAATAGATAACATTAACTATGTGCATACATACCTACGACATTCCTAATACAAATAAATTATAGATTCTATTGATTCCGTGACAACTGATATCAAAACAAAAAAGCCAAACCGTTCATTTATTGATTATTACTATTTAGTTTTATTTTGCGACATCATTTTTATTCATAGTGTTCTTTATTTTCATAACAGTGTGAATTACCTACTCTGTTTTTAATATGCTTTTTCATTTTCTTATTCAATAGTATTATTAGGTATCAGAATCAATGAAACAATGGCACTACCCTTTTAGTAGACAAAAAATATAATACTAAACCCACTTATTGTTATCGTCCTTTTAAAAAGACATCAGAGCAACAACTTTACTACATTACTATAACCAAGATTTAAAACATTATAAACGCTACTTAAAATATTATTACGTCACGTCTTCAATATAAAGGGCGAACAATCAGTTGATCGTGCGTAGAAATAATTGAAAAATGACCTTTAAGATTAAGATTTTTTTAATAACAATCCGTGCAAATATGGTGCTTATAAAAACTTTGTATCAGTGTCATAACTTCTTTATTAATTCTAAATACAAATTTCTGTCCAGACAGGTATATAAGTGTCAAAATTGAATGATATCTCTTGTAATATCTCATGTAATGATATCTCTTTCTAAATTATCTACATATTTAAACATTACATGCAAAAGAAGAAAGAAATGGTATTTCTCATTGGTTTAACAAGGGTTGGCAAAGTTCTTGGTTCTTGTTCAAATACATGAAAAATTAAGGTTAATTATGACGATAGTCGAAGATTTAACATAAGTATGTAGTTCAGGATCAAGTGGGATAGGAACGAAACAATATTTTTTAGTGTGTCCGTTTCGACCCGTACCTTTGCTAGGCTCAATTAGAAATTCTTTTCATAACTAGTTTTAATGTTGCGCTAAGATTAATTTAAATTTTACTGCACCTAAGTATTTTACACGGAGCAACTGCCCTCATCCATCAACAAACTGATAATAAAGCTAAATACGTTGTTTATTTCATTCTAATACGGTGTGGTTGGATGAAAAGAGCTGAACTTTGAGCTTTTTGGCGTGCAATTGGCGAGGCCTATGTCCAGCAGTGGACGAAATCAGGCTGGTGATGATGATGTCAAAGTAAAAGTCAAACCATTTATTTCAAATAGACTACAAAAGGCACTTTTGCAATACCGGCAAAAAAAAACAAGAAATTCAACTATCGATAAGTCGGTGTCAGTCTGTCGGTAAGTCCTCTAAGCTATTTGCTCGCTCCAAAATGTGGATTCCTATGGAGAATAACGAGTAGAAACTTCCTACTCTTTTTAAATCAGTTTCACAATAAATTTCTTTGTCACATCATTTATACGGTTTTATTATTTGAGAACAGTGTACTTAACACAAATATTAAGCCAAATAATCCGAAAAAGAAATTTGTTGTGCATACTTAGTAATAAATTAGAATTGAATTCTTGAAGAATAATCCCAAAAGGGATCACATAATTATGTACATTCATATTATTTTTGTTATCTATTCATTAATGAAATAATTGAGGGAGTCTTTATTAAATTATCCTTTATCTTTATTATTAAACTAAAAACGTCTTCAAAAGAAAAAAATCTGACCCTTACATTTTGCAATGATGTCAGACTGAAAGCTCCTTTTATTACCTGACTACGGCAAAGGTAAAGGGACGATAATGATTTTTTCTATAATATGAGGCTACGTTTATTAAATCGTAGAATTTCTTTAGGTGTTTTCCGAGCGGGGCGGCGTAGACTGTATAATATGAATGAAGGCTTTTAACTTATTTTTATCGCGAGTAAAATAAATAGCTAAGCAAACAATGTATGGCTTTGACTTTACACTTAATGAAATAAAAATAAAACAAGTATAAAATCTATGATTCAAAAATGAATCACGAGATGTGTTAGTTAGAGCATAGCTCTATAACGCCTGGACGAATTTTGCCAATTATGTGATTGTTATGTTTGTTACAGTCAGGAGAATGAATGTTCTTACTAAACAACATTTTTGAAATGGTAATAGAGGGGTGACACCATTTTCGGTGCCGTGGCGTTTCGCTAGCAAAAGAAATGACTGACACTGGGGTAGTCGGATAACCGTGCGATTCAGGCGTCATCATCAATGCAATCATATATTAGACAAGAAATAAAAAGAAAACAAGTATGTAATGATGGCACAGATCCTTTATTTTATACAGAAATCCATCTGCAACTCAACACAACATCAGTATTCCTATAATCATGACTTGTTATTTATCGTGAATTCGCTGTTGTCTTCAGTTGATCTTGGTCAGGTCAGGTCAATAATTTAGTTAAATTAGTACTTCTTCTCAACCTGGGCGGTGCGGCTGGCGATGTAAGCGAGAGCGCGGGCGATCTGGGGGGGAATTTCGGGAGCAACGGGGAGGAGGTCGCTCTGAAAATAAATACACAATAAGATATACTTCTGTTAACTAACCACTCATCATCAGTTGGGCAACACTTGACAAAGCCTACCCTTTTAACTTTAAATGAAACACCTCTTTGTTGTGATCCACAAAATTATTTTAAGTCAATAACATTAGTCCTATCACTAATGTATTATTTTTCCATGGCATTGTTCAACTACATGACTTTAGCAAACTTTTTAAACTAATTATTTAATTATTAATCTGAACAAAGGAAAACGTATTCAGTAATTGTTTACCTGGGGCTGGTAACCATTTTCGTCAGCGACGTAAGACACCAACACGGGGGTACCGTCGGGGGCGGTGTACTTGTAGGCACCCTGGGCGACCTGCAACATATAAAATAATATTATTATATATTTTCTATAAAGAACACCGATTATATAACAATATTGTGGTTAATTGTTTCATAGGTATACTTTAAATAAATATACTCACAACACCACCGGCTTCGCCGACCTGCTTGTAGGTACCGACGGATTCAGCGCTGATACCGTTTTGGGTCTCGAAGCTAAAAGTTTAAATATTTAACTATGATAAATCTAGTGTAAGTAATATCAAAATATCCTAACTACACCATACAAATAGGCAAAAGTACAAAATATGTACCAGAAGTTCATACATATTATATGCTACGAACGAATTATGCTTGAGTATGAGTTGAGCTCTTATTAACACTTTCAGGTCTTGTAATAACTTAAAAGAAATTTAAAAAAATCACACGATATCTTTAAATGATAACTTACGTGTATCTGTAGCTGTTGTCGGGGCTGATGTCGTTTTCGAAACGGACGATGCCAGCTTCAGCTTCGTTGTTGTAGGCCTTGTTGACGACCTGTTTGGCAGCACCATAGGTGGCAGCGGCGGCCTGGGCGACGGGGGTAGCTACGGGGGCGACGACTGGGGCAGCAGCCTGGGCTACGACCTGGGCGGCGGCGACCGGGGCGTAGGCCACAGCTTTAGCGGCATTGACTGGGGCGTAAGCTGGGTTGCGGAAACCACCGAAACCGGGGAAGGTTTCAGCAGCCGCGGCGCACACGCACAGAGCAAGTACCTGCAAAATTAATAATAAAACTTATTAATTGTTCATTGCCTGAGAAAATGTTTTCATTTCACTATTGTTATTTACGTAAGATGCTATTTGTAAACATTTGTTGATATCTCACCAAGAATTTCATTTTTGTTGAGATCTGTACGACTGGCAGAAGCAAACAGGTACCATCCCATAGAATTTTTATCCTTTTATATTAAAATACAAGTCTGCAAAAAATAGCGACCAATTCTAAGGGTATTGACACGCAATAGTGGCCTTGACTCTTACATTAATTTCTCGTTGACAAGTAGAATATTATTAAGACTGGACCTATTATCAATTCGTTAAAATCTATGAGACCATTATTTAAAAACCAAATATTCCTATGTATAATGTATAATTGTTTGCTATGGAATATTAAATGGTTCCGTCGAAAACGTTTTAGTAAAATGTTTTGAGAATGTGTAGAGAGCTATGACGATGGAATTACTGAAAATAAAATATTTGTCAATACTGTACACATATCGTATTTTTATGGCAAACATAAAGCATATGAAATATCTAGCTTTGTTTCTATAAATTTGTCTTGACTTATTACCTAAACATTATCTTGAGCGCTTCATAAATGACATATCCTACATTAACTAAATCAATATTTTAATGTTATTTATGGAAGAGAGTAAGTAGTTTTAAATGTGGAAGAGCCATGCTTCGGCACGAATGGGTCGAGCGAGTGATAACACGGCCTCACAGAGACCGGCGTGAAACAACCACAGCGTTGTGTTTCGTCGTGTGAGTGAGTTTACCGGAGGCCCAATCCTTCCCCGCCCCCAATCCCTCCTCAATCCCTAAATCTCCAAATCCCTAATCCATAAAAGGTCGGCAACGCACTCGTAAATCCTCCGTTGCATAATCCATCAGGTAATCCGTCTGCTCGTTTGCCGACCAATCACATAAAAAAAAGAGTTATGCTTCGGCACGAATGAGCCAGCTTGGCTGAAGTGATACCACGGCCTCACAGAATACCGGCGTGAACAACATTTACGTTGAGTTTCGGCATGTGACTGTGGTTACCGGAGGAGCAATCCTCATCATCAATCGCCAAATCCTCTATACTTAAATCCCTAGCAAGCCACAAAACTTCTTTGCTGTTACTCTTAGCAAAACTTTTTTCCAGCAAACCTAGCTACTGCAATAGAAAATTTGTAAATTAGCCCATAATTAGCCGTTGAAACTTTATATTTTTAACAATTTAAACACAATAATATATTTTTTTGTAAAAATAAATCAATGTATCAATAATATATTTTTTTGTATGCGACTTATTGCACTGAAGTGAATGATTGCCTACAATTTTTATATAAATTCGTATAATTAGGCCTATTTGTGTGTGTACGCAATAAACTTAATATTATAAAATAAATAAGTAGGTACTTCTAAATTCACTTAATACATTTTGCATTTCCAATTTGACTAAGAGACAAGACTAGTTAGTCTGTATAATAATACTGCGTGCAAATACTTTTACAAGCGTGTGTGCAAATACTTTTGCACTCTCTCATTTTGATCTCACTCTCTTTATCCAAAGGGATGGCATTCCAACACGACAAAACAAAGCACGGCCCAGGAAGGCAGAATCTGCAGCAGCAGGCAGCTTAACGACATTTTCAAAGGACGTTGTCTTATTACATTATCATCACTATACCTATTACCCATAATGCTAAAGGCTTCCACTGACATGGACCGGTAAGGACATGGTGATTACCCCAATAACCATAATTAACGCTCAAAACATTTAGGAAAGGATGTCATTAAGATACAGTCTCATGGTTGTCTAACTTTTTATTTACATTTCTAATCCTTTCTTCAACCATAACAAAGCACTAATTTTGAAATACGTAAAAAGCATTTACAATTTTGGCTACATAAACGATAGCCGAATTGATAAATCGTATTTTATCTAGAACTATGACAATTATGAACGGCATCTACTGATCCCTATTTATGTTTTTGTCGTGAAACACACCTCCCATTTAAACCATACTTCATGGCGGTGATATTAAAAGAACTTTATATTATGTCATAAGTTCATCGCGTCTAATAAAGACCAAATTTAGGCTGTTTGCACAACTGTTTACTTTTTCTATTCGTGTGGTATTTGCAATTAAAAAAACGGAAGAATCATAAATTCATGCACATGTGTATTTTTATTAAGGTAGGTAGATAAGGTATAGTTTAGGGTAATTTTCATTTGAAGTATTCAGGTATCTACCTATATTTTAATCTTTAATATTATATTTTCTAATAATTTAAAATCTAAAACGTAAAATATATTAAATCGTGTATTTTTCCTAAGGTATGAATTCCTACGGAACCCACTCATTGTGTTTGTCTCTCGTCCATCTCAAAGTTCATTATGAAGTGTACATCTAAATATCAATGCTAATATCAATGATTTAAATTCACATAGTCACAAAAACAACGGAAAAAGAAAAAGGTTGATTTATGTCAGCGGGTAGTCTCTCTATGAACTTGGATATTATTATTTACATTAATAATATATCTTTATTATGAACCTTACATTAGGTACGATGTCAGTGCTGTAATAAATAGCTAGACTACAAAAAATAGTGCCTAGTTAAAATCAAACCTCAAAAAATGTAATACAATCTGCAATTTCGAAAAGCTAAAATGAGCAAAAAATTTTTGTTTTTTTTTTCCTTTTATCGAAATGTCATTTAATCGTGGGAAACAACGCCCACATGAAGATGTGAGATAAACTGTTGATGAGATATACTCCAGTTAACCTTGGTGATAGAAGACCACAATCTGGAAACGTGACATCTGCCGAACGCACAAATCGTTCGAGGGCCTCTAAAAAACTAGTTTCTATTTTCAAATGTCAACGGCTATTATTACCACGTCTACAGGTCATCAGGGTGTGACCCACAGGTCTGCAGCTCACAAATCACGTGATACTTTTTATGACAAATGTTATAAAATTTAAATTGTCATAAGATTTATATTTATTATCACGTTTGGTTCGTGGTAATTTATATAGTTCCTGGGCCTACAAGGTGATGCTAGTCTAATAAGTACAATCAAATTTATGTTCGATGAAACAAAAATGTTCTTGAATTCAGTGTTCAATGAACACAAAAATAAATCGTATAATAGGTTAGGCAAACTATATAATGTTTGAATTTATCAAAATTTTCTATCCTTACTAATATTTTAAAGAGGCAAAACTTGTGAGTTTGTAAGTTTGTATGTAGGAGGTGATCTTCATTCACTGATAGATAGCTACAATGTTCATGAGTGCTATAGGCTATAAAACATCACGCCATCACAAAATGGAGCCAAGCAGCGCGTGAAACCGCGCAAGAGTAACAAGTTAAAAATAAAATTTCGCCTCTAAGTGCCCGCTGCTGAGCAAATTCCTTTTCTCGCATATAGGAGAGTTTGAGCATTCATTAACTACACTTATATCTCGGAAAACATCATGTATATTTGTAAGTACGTGTCACATTTTGTCGCATCCTCATAAAAGATACTACATAAACTTTATTATACGTAATTATTGATATTAAATTATTCTTCGTAATTATTTTTCTTTTTTTTTTTCATTATATTTTTTATATTTTGATGTTTAGGTAAAACATTTTAAGTGACGTCACTTCATTCACTCACATTAATAGTAGATAACGGGTCAATTCATCGCTTGCACTGTTAGTGCAGCGGGCTACTGCGCGAAGTATTGTACATATATTATATACATATATTATTGCACGAAATATATCTTTATGTCGTCGACAAAACGTTGTGCTTGTCATAAAGTATTTTATATCAATTTGTATGTTTTAAATGCGCTTACACGACAGGAGAAAATCCTAAAAATAGTATTTTGAGTACTTAAAGAAAGTAAAATCAAAAATTACGAGGGTGAATATACTCATTATACCAAGCCACGTGTAGGTATATCAGGGTCTAATAATCTGTTTAAACAGATGAATTCCTCCAAAATGGCATTTTACATGAATATATTAAACCAGTTTACTTAAAAATAATGTTTTCTACCTAACAAAAACTTGATCAAACTATAAAAAAACATCAGTCTAATATAAATATTATGTCATAGGTGACAAACATATTAATATCGATTTAAATTAGCACCTGCAGGAATTATAAATTAGATATTATTCAGACTTTTTATTTTATAAAGAAAATACGTTATTAAAAGACACACCCTATTTAAATTAATCACATCATCATCCTATAAGTGTCCACTGCTGAGCTCTCATACAAAAAGGTTTGAGCATTAATCACCACGTTTGCAAAAGGTGGATTAGCGAATCCAAACATAAAATTCCAAGTTTCATCGCGATGTTTTCCTCCACCGTATGTCTGTGGAGTCTAAACAATAATAGAAAGTACTCAAGCGACAGTTTCCGAGTTATATACTCAAAAAATGTCGCTTGAGAAACGGGCGCCTTAGGCTCCGGGCCACTAAGACGTAAAATTTTTGAGTTTGGCATAACCATTCTTCAGCTCGAATGGACTGTTAGAAAACAGACGTTACTATCTCATCCCTCCCTCCTTCTATCACCTAACCCAAAACCTCCCTATCCTCAAAACCTCTAAAGGCCTGGAACGTACTTGTAACTCCTCGATATTGCAGGTAAGCATGGGCGGCACTGACTGCTTACAAAAAAACATTTCTATGTCTCTAAGTACCAGATTCACAGCAACACCTAGTAACTAAAACTTTTAACATCATTATTACTAGTCTGTATATTCATACGAAAGCTGTAGAGCCATAAGTACTTTCCATTCATAAAACCTTAAGAGCTGTCACATAAAATTGTCGAAGTTACGGCCAGATGTCACCGTCGAGCAAGTTCAAGAAAGTTCCAGGAAACGAAACGGAAATCCAAGAATGCTGTACTAAGCGACACCTTGACCTGAAAGATGGCTGATGCGGTCTCATCCCTCCCCACCTCAGTTATAAATAAACGCTTGCAAAGAGACTTCACCTTTCACCTTTCTAAGAACTTTGAACGTATCGCAATAATGGTACAGACACGAGGCATTGATAGGTTAATAGTACACTAAGCATTGACATCAGGCAGACACTACTGCCAATTACTATCGCTAAATGAAACATTATGTTGTTAATAGAACATGCAGTTATAATTTCGTAAA